CCCGGCTAATTTTTTGGTTTATTGTAGAGATGAGGTCTCACCAAGTTGCCCGGGTGGGTCTCGAACCCGCGGCCTATAAATATTCTTGAGCTTTGTTCCAAGACATCGTTACTTGAAAGCAGTTCGATCCTTTTGGGTCTTGCTTTTAAGCTGTGTGAGGTGAGAGCAGAACATTTCTTGCGGAGCTGTCTTTTCCCCAGCACTGAGTTCCCTCAAGAGGTTCTCTAGTGTGGGTTAGTAGCAACGGGCTATTCCAAGCCCTGTGGAGCCTGGCACTGTTTCCTCTAAACCTTCCCCAGCTTGGGTTAGTCGCTTCACGTGCATGTGCTAGTCAGCAAATTGGGGAATAAACTGAGCAGCACTCTAGATTTCTGAAGTTTTCTCTGCAGCTATCTCCTCCATGGTCCCCTGTCACGGACACTGTAGCTGCCTTCCTCTCCCTTGACCTTCAGCTCCTCCTCCTCAACCCAGGAAGCCCCCTAGGTTGCCCCTTCCTGCGTCAAGACCTAGAAATTCAAGGCAGTCAGGTAAGTCTGTAATTTCATGTCTTTTAAGGAGCATTGGTTTTTTTGCCTAATATCCAATGTGTTGGAAAACCACCGTTACATAGATTTTGCCCAGTTCTTTAGTGGTTTCAGAATAAATTCTGTCTCTTTGATTCTGGCCAGAAGAAAATATTCCAGATAGGGTTTTTACTATATTAATTTTTAATGATTACACATGAATATATTTTCTTAAATTTAAATATGCATTTTATCTTTAAAAATACATAACTGACTATACCTTTCAAAACTATATATAATGTGGGGTTGGTTTTTTTTTTGACATCATCCTGTAACTTTTCACTTACTACTTGGAGATCTGTCGAAGTTAGTGTATGCGGCTACACCAATACACATAGGTATAGGCAATATGGATACCATAGTTAACATAGGTATTTTATTGAAGGGCATACAAGTTCTTTGCAGTTTTGCAGAGATTTGTACCTGCTGCCTTTTACATATGATGGCTTCTCTGGAGTAAATATGGAGACGTGAAAAGCTGTATCTGAGGGTTTCCACACTGAATATTTTAGACTGGGATTGCCTCTTTAAATTTTAAAATTCTGGTGAGTGAAATGATTTCCTTAGTGAATTGTCTATTTTTTAAACTGTTTTTTCTTATTGATTTATAGGGTTTTTTTTAAAACGTCTTAAACTATGCTGGATGCTAATCCATTATGAATGCATTTTCTTCAATAATTTCTTCAAACCTTTTTGATTATGGTGACTGTATCGACCAGAGTGCAATCTGGAGACAGATGCCACACAACATTAATGGGAAAAGTTTGACATAAAGTTAAGTACCAACTACAACAGTGAATTGGAGTGATATGGGGCATATCTGTAGAATTTTAAAAAATAAAAATTTGCACAGCAGTAAAGAGAACTTTAAAGAATACAGGGCTCACAGAATACAGGGCTCACAGGTACAGGAAGTGGCCACTATCCACTCTCCCTCCAGCTGAATTCCAGACTTTGCTGGAGAGGATACAGTCTTGACTTTCAGGATAGAGATGCTGGTGGTAGCTGAGGATCCATCTGAGAGTGCCAGGGAGGACTTCCATGGGGAGGTGTCATGTCAGTGTTCCATCTTCTGGGAAGTCATGAACGGTGGTGCCACATGGCTAGCACTGACCAGGGCAGCTGTGAGCTATTCTCAGCAAGTGTCTGCCTAGGGGAGCACACCAGAACCTGGAGGGAATCCTTCCAGTGTCCTTCCAGTGCCCTCTGCTGACACAGCATCAGGCCTCCCAGCAAAGGACATAGGGCCCAGCGTCATTATCACAGAGCCGGCAATAACAGGTGCATTGGAAGCTGAGAGACAATATGTTGCTAAAGGTCACAGTCCACCTTTCGGTCACTCAGCTTCCACATGTGCCCTTGACACACTTGACACTTCTGAACAACAGTGACCCACCTCCACAGGTCCACCCAACAAGGAAGAGCTGTACGTACTCACACGTCAAGTTTGCTCCCTTTCCCCAGCAGGAGAGGATGCCCAGGGCCAGCAGTTGTTGTCCCCATTGTTGGCTATACTAATTATGCCCCAAGTTTGTCACTATTCCACCAAAAACTAAAGACCAAATTGTAAATTTAATCTCCAAAAACTTGTATATAAAATAAAAATGGAAATAAAACATACAAATAAATAGATACAAGAGGAAAGTGGAAAATACTAAAAGCTCCTACAGTCTTTCTGTAAACCTATGGCCTCCTTCCACTCCCTGTGTGATATTTCTTTAGCCCTTGGCCAGAATCTCAGTTGGTCAGAGTTCTTTACCTGGTGGAGTGACTGAGTATTCACTACTGAAGGATCCCCGAATTCCCCTGTACCATCTCCATGGAAGTATTAAGGCACCGAGAGAATCTGTGTTCCAAATATGGCCTTTTTTGCCTTCATTGTGTACTGGCCATACAATCTCCCCTTGGTCATCAGGATTGGCCATTCCAGCCAATGTAATTACATCTTTTGTTGCTTATTAGTCCAGTGCCATAAGAAACCCAGGTGGCAGTCTCATCTGAGATCCTACATTAGTGAAAGCATTATGTCCCTGATTGAAGTGTCCCCTGGCAACTAAGACCTTCAAACCAGCAAGCTCCAGATTGTTAGACGTGTAATCACGAGAGGAGGCACTCCCACTTACTCTCTAATTCTTGGGCCCATGTACACTGGC